CTGGAGCTCACCGAGGACGAGGTGACACCTTGGGGACACCTTGGTGACACCTTGGGGACACCTTGGGGACACCTTGGGGACACCTGGGGACACTTTGGGGACACTTTAGGGACATTTTGGGGACATTTTGGGGGGTTTTGAGGGGATTTGGGGCAGTTTTGGGCTGATTTCTGGGGGTTTTGGGGCCGACATCGACCTGAGCAAACTCACCTGGAGCTCACCGAGGACGAGGTGACACCTTGGGGACACCTGGGGACACTTTAGGGACATTTTGGGGACACTTTAGGGACATTTTGGGGACAATTTGGGGGGTTTTGGGCTGATTTGAGGGGGTTTTGGGGTGGATTTGGGGCCGACATCGACCTGAGCAAACTCACCTGGAGCTCACCAAGGACGAGGTGACACCTTGGGGACAGTTTGGGGACATTTGGGGACACCTGGGGACACCCTGGGGACACTTTGGGGACACTTTAGGGACATTTTGGGGACAATTTGGGGGGTTTTGGGCTGATTCCAGGGGGTTTTGGGGTGGATTTGGGGCCGACATCGACCTGAGCAAACTCACCTGGAGCTCACCGAGGGTGAGGTGACACCTTGGGGACACCTTGAGGACACCTTGGGGACACCTGGGGACACCCTGGGGACATCTGGGGACACTTTAGGGACACTTTGGGGACACTTTAGGGACATTTTAGGGGGGTTTGGGGCAGTTTTGGGGTGATTTCTGGGGGTTTTGGGGCCGACATCGACCTGAGCAAACTCACCTGGAGCTCACCGAGGGTGAGGTGACACCTTGGGGACACCTGGGGACACTTTGGGGACAATTTAGGACACTTTGGGGACACTTTGGGGACATTTAGGGGGGTTTGGGACAGTTTTGGGGTGATTTCTGGGGGTTTTGGGGCCGACGTCGACCTGAGCAAACTCACCTGGAGCTCCCCAAGGGTGAGGTGACACCTTGGGGACACCTTGGGGACAAATTTGGGGACGTTTTTGGTGGCTTGGGGACATTTTCAGGTCACTTGGAGACATTTTTGTGCCATTTCAGCCATTTTTGATGCAATTTTTTTGCAGTTTTGAGTTTTTTTGGGTCCAAATTTGGGTTTTTTTGTCCTTTTTGGGGATTGGGGACATTTTAGGGACATTTTTGGGGACAATTTGGGGACATTTTTTGGTGGCTTGGGGTCATTTCAGAGAACTTTGGGCTGATTTTAGAGGATTTTGGGGACATTTTGGGGACATTTCAGCCATTTTTGGTGCAATTTTTTTTCAATTTTGGGGTTTTTTGGGTCCAATTTGGGTTTTTTTTGTCATTTTTGGGGTTTGGGGACATTTTGGGGACATTTTTGGGACATTTCAGCCGTTTTTGATGCAATTTTTTCCAGTTTTGGGGTTTTTTGGCTCCAAATTTGGGATTTTTTTCCAGTTTTGGGTTTTTTGGGTCCAAATTTGGGATTTTTTTTCCAGTTTTGGGGTTTTTTGGGTCCAAATTTGGGATTTTTTTCCAGTTTTGGGGTTTTTTGGCTCCAAATTTGGGATTTTTTTTCCAGTTTTGGGGTTTTTTGGCTCCAAATTTGGGATTTTTTTCCAGTTTCGGGGTTTTTTGGGTCCAAATTTGGGATTTTTTTCCACTTTTGGGGTTTTTTGGGTCCAAATTTGGGATTTTTTTCCAGTTTTGGGGTTTTTTGGGTCCAAATTTGGGATTTTTTTGTCAAAATTTGGGGATTTGGGACATTTTTGGGACATTTCAGCCATTTTTGATGCATTTTTTTTCCAGTTTTGGGGGTTTTTTGGCTCCAAATTTGGGATTTTTTTCCAGTTTTGGGGTTTTTGGGTCCAAATTTGGGATTTTTTTCCAGTTTTGGGAATTTTTTGGGTCCAAATTTGGGATTTTTTTCCAGTTTTGGGGTTTTTTTGGGTCCAAATTTGGGATTTTTTTCCACTTTTGGGATTTTTTGGGTCCAAATTTGGGATTTTTTTCCAGTTTTGGGGTTTTTTGGCTCCAAATTTGGGATTTTTTTCCAGTTTTGGGGTTTTTAGGTTCCAAATTTGGGATTTTTTTCCAGTTTTGGGGTTTTTTGGGTCCAAATTTGGGGTTTTTTTGGCTCCCCAGGTGGAGAGGGTGATCACCATCATGCAGAACCCCCGGCAGTACAAAATTCCTGATTGGTTCCTCAACAGGCAGAAGGACGTCAAGGATGGAAAATATTCCCAGGTGTGGCCCCAAAATTCCCATTTTCCCTGATTTTTCCCCAATTTTTCCCCTTTATTTCCCATTTTTCCACATTTTATTCCTTTTTTTCCTGATTTTTTCCCAATTTTTTCCCTTTATTTCCCATTTTTCTCTCTTTATCCACATTTTATTCCCATTTTTCCCAATTTTCCCCCCATTTTTTCCTCTTTTTCCCCCAATTTCCCCCAATTTTTCTCAATTTTTTTTCCCCAATTTTCACCCATTTTTTCCCATTTTTCCCCCATTTTTCCCCCTTTGCTCCCCAATTTTCCTTCAATATTTCCCCAATTTTCCCATTTTTTCCCTATTTTCCCAATTTCTCCCCCTTTCCCCCAAATTCTTCCCAATTTTTCCTCCTTTTCCCCGATTTTTTCATCTTTTTCCCATTTTTTCCCCCTTTCCCCCCCACATTTTTTCCCTTTTTTCCCCAATTTTTCCCGTTTTTTCCCAATTTTTTCCCCCAATTTTCCCATTTTTTTCCCAATTTCCCCCAATTTTTTTCCCCCATTTTTTTCCCAATTTCCCCCAATTTTCTCCCAAATTTTCCCCCATTTCCCCCAATTTTCCCCCATTTTTTTCCCAATTTCCCCCAATTTTTTCCCCATTTTTTCCCCCCAATTTCCCCCAATTTCTCCCAATTTTTTCCCCCAATTTTCCCATTTTTTCCCAATTTCCCCCAATTTTTCCCTCATTTTTTTTCCCAATTTTCCCCCATTTTTCCCAATTTCCCCCAATTTTTCCCCATTTTTTCCCAATTTCCCCCAATTTTCTCCCAAATTTTTCCCCCAATTTTTCCCCCATTTTTTTCCCAATTTCCCCCATTTTTCCCCCAATTTTCCCCCATTTTTCCCCAATTTTTTCCCAATTTTCTCCCAAATTTTTCCCCCAATTTTCCCAATTTTCCCCCAATTTTTTCCCCAATTTTCCCCCATTTTCCCCAATTTTCCCAATTTTCTCCCAAATTTTCCCAATTTTCCCCAATTTTCCCCATTTTCCCCCCATTTTTCCCAATTTTTCCCAATTTTCTCCCAAATTTTCCCAATTTCTCCCTTTTTCCCCCCAAAATCCCCTCCCAATTTTCTCCCAAATTTTCCCAATTTCTCCCTTTTTCCCCCCAAAATCCCCTCAGGTTTTGGCCAACGGCCTGGACAACAAACTCCGCGAGGACCTGGAGCGCCTCAAGAAGATCCGAGCCCACCGCGGCCTGCGCCACTTTTGGGGGTAAAAACCGCGATTTTGGGCAAAAACCCCAATTCCCCCATCCCAAATTTCCCAAAATCCCGGGAATTTTGGGGTTAAATCCGGGTTTTTTGGCTCATTTCAGGTTGAGGGTGAGGGGTCAGCACACCAAGACCACCGGGCGCCGCGGGAGGACAGTGGGAGTGTCCAAGAAAAAATGAGGAGAAAAAGGGGAAAATCGGGAAAAACGGGAATTTTTGGGAATAAAAGAGGAGTTTTTGTGGAGCTGGAGTGGTTTTTTTTGGGGGGAAAATGAGGGAAAACGGGAAAATTGGAAAAAATAAGGAGAATTGGGGGAAAATGAGGATTTTTGGGGGGGATAAAATGGAATTTTGGGGGAAAAAATGGGAAAATTGGGAAAGAAAAGGAGAATTTTGGGGAAAAAATGGGTAAATTGGGAAAGAAATGAGGATTTTTGGGAATTTTGGGGGAATTGGGGAAAAAAAATTCGGATTTTTGGGAATTTTGGGGGGAAAATGGGAGAAGTGGGGAAAAGAATGAGGATTTTGGGGGGAAAAACGGGAAAATTGGGAAAGAAAAGGAGAATTTTGGGGGAAAATGGGAAAATTGGGAAAGAAAAGGAGGATTTTGGGGGGAAAAACGTGAAAATTGGGAAAGAAATGAGGATTTTTGGGAATTTTGGGGGGAAAACGGGAAAATTGGGGAAAAAATGGGTATTTTTGGGAATTTTGGGGGGAAATTGGGGAAAAATGAGGGGGTTTGGGAATTTTGGGGGAAAAAAACAGGAAAATTGGGAAAAAAATGAGGATTTTGGGGGGGAAACCCAGGAAAAATAGGAAAATTGGGAAAGAAAAGGGGGATTTTTTGGGGAAAAAATGGGAAAATTGGGTAAGAAAAGGAGAATTTTTGGGGAAAAAACAGGAAAATTGGGGGAAAATATGAGGATTTTGGGGAATGTTGGGGTTGGATGTGGAATTTTGGGAATAAAAGTGGAGCTTTTTGGAGCTGGAGTGGATTTTTTGGGGGAAAAACGGGAAAAAACAGGAAAATTGGGAAAGAAAATGAGGATTTTTGGGAATTTTGGGGGAAAAAACGGGAAAATTGGGTAAGAAAATGAGGATTTTTGGAAATTTTGAGGGGGGAAAATGCTAAAATTGGGAAAAAAATGAGGATTTTGGGGGAAAAAACCGGGAAAATGGGGAAAGAAAAGGAAATTTTTGAGAATTTTTGGGAAAAAACGGGAAAATTGGGTAAGAAAAGGAGGATTTTGGGGAATTTTGGGGTTGGATGTGGAATTTTGAGGATAAAAGTGGAGTTTTTGGGGAATTCCTGAGGGGATTTTGGGGAATTAAAGCGGATTTTTGAGACAAAAGGGGGTTTTTTTGGAGGGAATGGGAGAGAATTTTTCGGGAATAACAAAATTCAGGAAATCCGCGTGGAATTTTGGGGAATAAAAACGAATTTTCGTGAGGGGGAAGGGGAGGGAGGGAAGCGCATTTTTGAGGAAAAAATACCGATATTTTTAAAAATAAAAATTCAGGATAAAAAGGAGAGGTTTGGGAAGGGGAATCGCTTCTTGAAGGAAAAAAAAAAAGGGAATTTGGGATGGAACAAAATTTGGGAAAACCGACCTGGAATTGGCGGGCGGAGATTTGCCCTCAACAAAGATGGCGGCGGCCGCGCCCTGCGCCCTCACCCAAAATGGTGCTGCCCACAACAAAGATGGCGCCCGTGCTTTGCTCGATACCCGCTTTGCCCTCACCCAAGATGGCGCCTCCGCCTTCAACCTTTTCCCGCGCCGCTTCGCGCTGATTGGTCGGATTTTTTCCCGCCCTTCAATCGGATTGGCTCCTCACCCGGAAGTAGGCGTGGTATCTCCGCATGGTCGTGATGGCGGGCGGCGTGTCCGGGGTGAGTGAGGGGACGGGGCGAGAATTCATCCAATTTGGGGGATTTCGGGAATCTCGAGAGGATTTTTGGGGTGGTCCCAGTCTCATTCCCTCTTTTCCCGCAGAGAACGGACCCGTTCCCCGGGCCGGCGCCGGTGCCGCGGCCCAGAGTGAAGAGGTTCCTGCGGGGCGCGGACGAGAAAGCGGTAAAAAGAGGGGGGATCCTGAGGGGATTTTGGGGATCCTGAGGGGATTTGGGGGGATTCTGAGGGGATTTAAGGGAAATAGAGGGGATTTGGGGAGATTTTGGGGAGATTTGGAGGGTTCCTGAGGGTTTTTTTTGGGAACTAGTGGGGATTTGGAGGGTCCCTGAGGGGATTTTGGGGGATCCTGAGGAGATTTGAGGGAAATAGGGGGGATCTGGGGACATTTTTGGGAATTCGGAGTGTCCCTGAGGGGATTTTTGGGATCTTGAGGGGATTTGAGGGAAATAGGGGGGATTTGGGGAGATTTTGAGGAGTTTTGGGGAGATTTTGGGGGTTCCTGAAGGGATTTGAGGATCCCTGAGGAGATTTGGAGGGATCTGAGGGGATTTAAGGGATCTTGAGGGGATTTGGGGAGATTTTGGGGAGATTTGGGGGTTCCTGAGGGGGATTTTGGGGAAATAGGGGGGATTTGGAGGGTCCCTGAGGGATTTTGGGGGATCTGTGAGGGGATTTGAGGGGTCCTGAGGGGATTTTTGGGATCCTGAGGGGATTTGAGTGAAACAGGGGGGATTTGGGGAGATTTTGGGGAGATTTGGAGGGACCTGAGGGGATTTGAGGGGTCCTGAGGGGATTTGGGGGCTCTGTGAGGGGATTTGAGGGAAACAGAGGGGATTTGGGAAGATTTTGAGGAGTTTTAGGGAGATTCGGGAAGTCCCTGAGGGGATTTGAGGGTTCCTGAGGGGATTTGGGGGCTCTGTGAGGGGATTTGAGGGGTCCTGAGGGGATTTTTGGGCTACTGAGGGGATTTGAGGGAAACGGGACATTTGGGGATATTTGGGGAAGTTTTTTGGGGATTCGTGGGGTCCCTGAGGGGATTTTGGGGGGTCCTGAGGGGATTTGAGGGAAATAGGGGGAATTTGGGTGTAATTTGAGGGAACTTGGGCAAAATCTGAGGGATTTTGGGTGGAATTTGGCTGGAATTTGAGGGAATTTGGGTGGAATTGGGTGGAATTTGAGGGAATTTGGGTGCAATTTGAGGGATTTTGGTGGGATTTGGCTGGATTTGGGTGGAATTTGAGGGAATTGGGTGAAATTTGATGGAATTTGGGTGGAATTCGAGGGAATTTGGGTGGAATTTGATGGAATTTGGGGGAATTTGGGTGGAATTTGAGGGAATTTGGGTGAAATTTGAGGGAATTTGGGTGGAATTTGAGGCAATTTGGGTGAAATTTGAGGGATTTTAGATGGAATTTGAGGGAATTTGGGTGAAATTTGAGGGAACTTGGGGGCTTTGGCTGGAATTGGGTGGAATTTGAGGGAATTTGGGTGGAATTGGGTGGAATTTGAGGGAATTTGGGTGAAATTTGAGGGATTTTGGTGGGATTTGGCTGGATTTGGGTGGAATTTGAGGGAATTGGGTGAAATTTGATGGAATTTGGGTGGAATTTGAGGGAATTTGGGTGGAATTTGGGTGGAATTTGGGGGAATTTGGGTGGAATTTGAGGGAATTTGGGTGAAATTTGAGGTAACTTGGGGGATTTGGCTGGAATTGGGTGGAATTTGAGGGAATTTGGGTGAAATTTGAGGGATTTTCGATGGAATTTGAGGGAATTTGGGTGAAATTTGAGGGAATTTGGGTGAAATTTGATGGAATTTGGGGGAATTTGGGTGAAATTT